AGTAATAAAAAAAATATTTAATTGAAACGACAAATACAAGTACAAACTGTAAAAGCTGTACAGGCATTTAAAGCCTCTCTCTGGCCCCTGAGATGATTTAATAGGGCCAAACATAAAGTGACATTTTTAAAAATTAAAACCAGTAAGTTTAAAAAATAATTACAACCATCATAACATTTTTGCATTTTTCATTTTTAACTCTTAATTGCCTAAATTACATTCGGTTGGACAAACATGTAAAAGGCAAAACAGCAGCAAGTGGGTCTGTCTGACTGGGGTGTTGTTTACTTTTTGGGATTAAAATTCCCAAATACTTTGGTGTCTCTCTTGAGAATTTACACATTTCTGTAAGTGCTTAACAATGCTTTTAAAAAAGTACTGCCCAAAGAGCCTCTGATTTTAAAAGAAAATGAAAAACAGAGCCAATGAGCTATGGAAAAGTGGACTAACTCCTGGTGTCCTGAAGAAAAAGGACTATTGCTCAAGCAAAACCCAACCTTTTAATGCACTGTGTACACACTGTGTGCAGACACATGTGGTCAAACAGAACCAAAGGCCTTGTCTGGCTCATTAAATGATACGGATTTTGCAAATCGAGCCCAAGTATGTTTATACATATTAGTTAAATTCACTGATGTACCTTTTACAAATAACTCTCTGTGGCATCTGTGGCAGTCTAGGGGAGAAAAAAATCTTTAGAATTTATGTACAAATAGGTAATTTGAGATTTGTGTTTTCTTTCTTGTATTGGAGGTAACCTGATGATTTGGGGGTTGGGAAGGGGGGGACTAACTCACAGTCACCCCAGAGAACAGAGCAGACCTGCTCCATGGGGCTTCCAGGGTGGAAACGTCCATGGACTCCCTGTCACGCCTTTCTCCTGTGGAGCCACTGCTGGCTTCGAGCTGTCAACTTTTCAGTTAGCCACTGACCGCTTAACCACTACACCACTAGGGCTCTTGATTTTTTTTTTTAATTGGGGGAAAGGATTTTATTTTATAGGTTTATATTAAAAAAATAGCACTTAAATTTATATTTAACTTTGCTTAAAGTAAGGAGTAAGAAATGATAAATCATATATTTTCAAGATGCTTGGGAAGAAAAAACTTGCAGCATCATATTCTTAAAAACTTATTAAAGAAGAAAACCGTTAAAAGTAGAGTCTAACCTATTTTTTTTTAAATGGGCATTGTGAGTAAAAAGATGTAATGTCAATCTTTACACTATCTTAGCTTTGCTTCTATCCCTCACATAGTTTCCTCCTTTGAAGATGGCATTTCAATCTCAAAAGGCGCAAAAGCTCCAATGTGTTATTTACATACAAAATATCAAGCACTAGCTGCTCTAGAGTTTTATACAGAACAGAAAAAATATCTATTCTAATCAAATTCATCCTTCTGCTGGCTGGGACACACCCCATCACTACCACCACTTTACTCTTCCCAAGAGCTAAGAGCAGTCCAGGGACAGCTGGTGAACAGGTGAATTTTCACATGTAAAAAGTCAACCAAACACCTCCATCCTCTGGTATGAGGACTACAAATTGCAATTTCTTTGCTAAAAAAATCCTCCTAGTGCTAAGAGGATCTTCTAAGCTTTATAAACAATATGCTGTCCAGACATGTCTGTATGAAAATGAGACTAGCCCCTAAAAAGGAGGGGAGAGTTCAGGAGATTCAGAGAAGCAGGCCTCGTAGACTTTAGAGTGCTAATAAGTCAGAAACAGGAAACTTTTATTTAAATAGTGTAGTCTTAATTTCTTTAATATAAAACCCCCCAAAACCTGATGAAAACAAAGCTTTATATACCATATAAACAAGATTTGTCAGATTGGAAAGTGAAAGGTGAAGTCATTTACAGTTAGCTTTTAGCTTTTTCAAGACATTTAGATATGCCTTGATATTTCACCTGATATTAGTTTGTGTCAATTTTATAATACATCGGGGAAAACTCTTCTATTGTACCTAATGGTACAGTTTAACTTAACAAGTGTTTGTCCTTTAACTCCATTATTAGTGACAGCTAAAAAGTGACCCCCCACCAAACCAAGTGAGTGATGTTAGACCGTGGCAGAGTATGCCACATCTGGATTGCTTTCTGTAGCTCACCAGTTTGCAGGAAGTAAACATTCTTTGATTTGTTCATAATATACTGAAATCGCCTATAACACTGGTGCAGTAAGACTCCTGTATGGTTATGGTAGGACAGATTTTTGTAATATAAAGTTAACAGGGGAAAAAATGCTCACATATTATGCGGTGAAACTTATTTCACAAAAAGAGCATTAAATAAAGGGGAAAAGGGAAAAAGAAACCATGCAGAAGCGAGAGCTCCTCCCCGTTTGGTGTCCGACGGGCTCACTCGTTGCCGTACATCACTTGCCACACTATCAAGTGACTCCTTTCCGCTTTGGTGACAGATGGTTCCAGTGGAAGATCCTCTCCGAGAAGTTCAGACTCTCCCCCTTCATCACCTGGTGGACAGAAGGAGACACACATTAGTGTGAAGACGGAAAGTGCAGGCTGAGGAGGAAGAAGACCTAGTGCTCCCGGTTAGTCCGGTAATAGGATGCATAGAACTTACCCAACAACCATCTTTACCTAAAGCTTTTACTTGAAATAAGAGAAATGTCATGAATTGGAATCTTGACTTAAGTCACTGCCTAACTTCTGGAAAGGAAAATTCCTGGCTTGTGGTGTATTCGGGATATGATGAACTGTACTGACAGTCTAGGGCTTTGGGGGGCACATCTTATTGTTAGTAATATGTATTATGTACAGTGTCAAAGTAAATAATTTTCCGACATTTATAATTTGGCAGATTTATAAAGTTTCTGATAATAAAAGGCAATAATAATGAAGGCAGGACATAAAGAGGGATTCCATCTACAACAAAACTTACTCAGAATGGAGTCATATTTGTAAAAATCAAGTTGACTGCATGATAATGAACACTCAACTCCATATACCTGCATACTGAAAAGTTAACAGGAAAGGGAAACCCAAAAGGCAAAGTTGTCCAGCTCTGTGCTCATCCACAGAGTGTGCTTATTTCAAACCAAGAAAGGAGACCAGATGATGAGCAAGCAGAAGTACAGAGCATCCAGGTGAAGCCAACGCAAACAGCTCATGCAGTGAGAGGACTGCAGTTCTCCAGGTGAGGATAATGGAAAGCAGCATGTGAAACAGAAGCTGTACATAGGGAAATGAGGCCCCGATAAAAGGCACTGGCTTGAAAGTATCAGGGCTCTTCTCTTCAAGCTTGGATCAACCTGTTTTGCTGTCGTTGAACTGAGTTGTTATGGCACAACCCAGTGACAAGTTGTTTAGTGGGACCGACTCTTGAGCAGGGGCCTAGAAGCTTGTCTACTCGCTGCTGTCATGGAGGTTCTGTCTCACAGTGGCCCCTGCTGGGTTCCAAGGCTGCAAACCGTAGTGGGAGGAGATTTCCCATCTCCCATCCTTCTCCCGTGGTACTGGTGCTGGTGAATCCAAACCAGTGGAGATGCAGCCTTTGAGTTAGCAAAATACATGTTAAGGAGTATGACACCAGAGCACCCTAAAAACTGGTGTGGTAAGAAACAAAAGATGTGACCTGACTCCTGGAATGTTGTGTTTTGCCACACTTAAATTTCAGGTGGACAAAAGAAAACATTATTGACTAGAAACAGTGGCAGGGGAACCTCACCGCCCCCCCCGCCCCCGCCCCAATATGTGTCTTTTTCTCAGTAGACAAAACTCTCCAATTACTTACTCCCTAATGGTCTTTATACCAAAATCTCAAACTTTAATATCAGTGCTTTCACAGGATCAGGACAAAAACCAGTTCCTGAATGGAATTATAACCAGGTAATTAAAAATGTTTAGAAAAAAAGTGCCTTCTAAATTTTAAAATTGTTGTTGTTATGTGCCATCGGGTCACTTATGGCATGACTCATAGCGGCCCTACGTACAACTACCCTGAAACCTGCTCTATCCTGAGCCAACTTTACTATCTCTGACATACCTGCTCTCATTACCCCAGTCAGTGTATCAATCCATCAAATTTTAAAATATGACAAATTTATTTGGCTGAGACAAAGAGTATTTGCATAGTTCTTTGAGTAGTTTGTCTTAAAGAATCTATTAATAAAAAAAGTAATCTGGCTTCTAGGGTTTCTACATCCTGGGATTGAAGGGAAACCATTAAAAAGATGAGGCTGTACAGATCAATTTCTTAGAGCTAAAAATTCTAGTAATGAAAAAGGAAATGCAACAAAAACAAATGATCAAGGATTACTCACAATTAACATTAGCCTCTATTCAAAGAGTCTTTTTATTTTTTTCCAAGCTAGTTTATCTAGAGATACTGCCAAAACCGGCTGAGCAATTTTGTGCTGTTTTTAGGATCCACAAAGGAAAGAATTTTTAGGGGAAATGGAAAAACCACATAAAGATTTTTATTAGCATACTCCTTCGCATGGTTCCAACTGCCACATGGCACTCCAAGACAAAGCTCGAAAAATCTTCCCCATCCAAGGGAGTGCCTGGAATGTCTTTCTAGAAAGGAATTCTGTACCAACAGTCAGTTATTTAAAACATACTGAGCTGACACCACTCCTGCTGATAACACCAGAATTCATTTCTAAATGTAACATTAACAGCCTCTAAAAGTGTGGCCAGGAGTCCTCCATCAGATAGTTTATACCAATCACATGTGGCACACTGTCATTAATGTGACCCTCAATTAATACTCTATTCTCACAAATTAATACTTAAGTATTTGCCACTGACCTACAACACTATGATTTTTTAAAAAGGTTAGTATCTTGGGTTTAGTAACTTTTAGACCACTGAGATTTGAGGTAGTTCAATGAGTTCAGTTACTTCTGCACAGTACAAAGCACTACACTGTCATAAGAATCAAGTCTCTCTATTTTCCTGTACCTGACCATTCCTTTTTGGATTCCTTCATGAATTCTGATGATCCTTGGAATGGAGCCTTAACACAGGATTCTATCCTAGAATCCCTTCTTTTAGTGTCTACACATTTTCCTTGGGTGAACTCCAATGCTTATGGCTCTCACAACTACTGTATACTGATAACTTTCAAATCCCACCCTTCTGAGAGACAGATCTGCTTCCTCTATTCTAGTAGTAGTCCTTCTCTTTTGAATGAATGGTCACTCAGAACATGACAGTCACCCTAGGTCAGTCATTCTTTCCTCATTCATCTATTAGTTACCAATTCCCTGTCATGTTTCTTATCTATTCTTGCATCTCTGTTAGGGCTGGTGTCACTTGACAATCTTTTACAATCTTGGCATCTATCTTCCCCTGGGTCTAGAAGGTTCTTAGCATCTATTCTCTTACACATTCATTAGGTACTAATTTCCTAATTCATCTCCCTATTTCTAGTCTGTACCATCTATCTTCTACAGAAATATAATCCATTGGTAGATATCCTTTTGTTTGGAGGATAAAGTACAAACTCACTCTCTCTTTTTTGACTTAAATAAGCAGAAATTTATTATCACAAGTTAGGAGGTTAGAAGTTTAAATCCAGGGCACGAGCTCTGGGGGAAGGCTTGCTTTCTTTGTCAGCCCTGGAGGAAAGTCCTCTCCTTTCAACATCTCTGTTAAGTTTGGTGTCACTTGGCAATCTCTACAAGTCTTGGCATCTACCTTCCCCTGGGTCTAGAAGGTTCTTAACACAGGGACTCTGGGTCCAAAGGACTTGCTGTGTTCTTACTCATTTCTTGGTAATAGTCAAACTTTTCCTTTTCTACAGCTTCTCCTTTTATTATCTCTTGTAAGACAAAACACAACATTCAGGCCACACCTCAGGGAAACTCTCCTTACCCTGGATCATGGCTGTGATCTGAGTATATATCTGAGTGCTATATATCACGCTTATCTTTTTACAACTGAGTGGCTGATCACATCACTTCATAAGGGTAATGACATCACCACACACCTGACATTACATCATCACATAACTGTCAAACCAGTGAAAATCGTGGCCCAACCAAGCTGACATATATTTTGTGAGGACACATTTCAATCCACAATACCACCTCCAGATTTACCTTTTATGGACATTTCATATATATAAATTGGTACGTGGCCTTTGTGGTTTCTTTCATTTATAATAAAGTTTTCAAGGTTCATCTAAGTTGTAGCTTACATTGGTTATTCACTCCTATCTATGGCTGAATGTTCTTCTGTATGAACACACCACATTTTATATTTCTGTTTATTAGTTGATGGACATTAGGGTTGTTCTCACGTTTTGTCTATCATTTAAACTGTTGTTTTGAATGGGTGTGTACAAATTTTTGCATATACTTGCATTTTTATTTATCTTGGGTATACACCTAGAAGTGCTGTCTCATATGGTTATATTTAGTTTTTTTGAAGGACTGCGTGGTTGTTTTGCAAAGTAGCTAAAGTACTTTTACATTCCCACCAGCAATGTATGTAGGAGGTTTCCAACCAATTTTCTCTAACACTTGTCATTGTTTCTTTTTTTAAAATTTATTATAAATTTTTTTTAATGTGCTTTGAATGAAAGTTTATACAGCAAATTAATTTTTCATTCAACCATTCATTCATTTTTTGTTTTGTAACAACAACAAATAATATTAATTTCAATATAAAAATAGAACTATACTTTTCCTCCCTATAATTCTGATTTCTATTAATCTTTCTGTATCTTTCTAAAGCGTTAACTCCTTAGTTTTACATATAACTCACTCAAAACTCTGGCTGTTGAGTCGGAACTGACCCATACCTGACTCTGCAGTGTGTTTTCATAGGCTGTAAATCACATGGGAGGAGACTGTCCATCTTTCCCTCGAGGAGGGGCTGCTGGATTCCAAAAGCCGTCCTTTGAGCTGGCAGCAGAACTCCTTACCCACTAGGTCACCAGAGTTCCCAATCTGCACATCAAACCCCCCATAATCGAGCTTTCTTTCACATTTTCTCTTCAGAGTTATCGCTGGTCAAATTTGTATTTTCTTCTGCCCCATGTTCCAATGCTTTTAAAACAGTTTTACTTCAGTTAAGATAATTTTGCATCTCTAAACCTTTGGTCAAGTTATTCTCTTCCCTTGGAATGGTACTCTCTAGCCCTTCTCATCCCAATCTCCAACCTTAATTACAACCTTAATTCAGTACTGAATCACTACAAGCACTTGCTTCCTTCTCTCCTTACCCCCAGGAAGAACTGACTACTCACCATAGCAACATCTAGAATGCTTTACTTTACTTAGAGGTCTGTATCTCTGGCATAGCTCTATCATCTACTGGAGGGAGGATCTGACAGTTTCATCTTAGCATTTCAAATGTAAGGCTGCTAGCTACAGAGTGAATACTCAATGTTGTTTTTTTCTTTTTTAAGTAAACAACAGCAACAACAACAAACATCCAAAACAAATTAAGTCAACTGTTATGCAAACACTAACTTTATGAAGTACTTTATTATCTCTGCTTTGCAAGTGAAGAAACTGAGGCTGTGAGAGGTTGAATAATTGCTCTAAATCGTATGCTGTCTACATATACCTCAATCCAAAACACAACTTTTTCTAATGCTCTTTCAAATACTCTCAAGTTCAAATAAATTTCAAATAATTATAAAGTTCTTTAACATGTAAACATTACAAAGAGATTCTTTTAGAAATCAGCCATGAGAGTGGTTTTGTTTACTGTGAATGAAAATCCAAGTCACAGGAAAAGAGGGACCTGAGCCCCGAGAACCAGGGACTCACTCCTGCAGATGTTGCTGGAGCCCTCTTCTCCCCTGCCCTGCATCACAGACCTAGGGTGTCTCCCAGAACCAGGGACTCACCCTTGCAGATATTGCTGGAGCCCCCTCCTCCACTGTCCTGCATCACAGACCTAAGGGTGTCTCCCAGAACCAGGGACTCTGGTATCAGTCAATGCAGCCCTTCCCTCTGCTGAGGACCTGAGCTCTCTGAACCCAGCACTCACCCATGCGGAAGTCGATGTAGCCCTCTCCTCCACTGATGACCAGCATAGACTTCAAGGGCGTCTGGCTGCCAGGTTCCTGTGCAGATGGTCCTGCTTTGTCAGTAGCTAGGTCGGTGCCACTACTGCCACTTTGTGGGCTGATGACTTGACCTATTTTATAAAGAAACAGAAGTTAATATGTATCACAGATGAGTATGAAGGTAACTGTCCTTTGTGCCCTGGTAACATTTTAAGATAGTTGAACGAAAAAAAAGTAACTATCTTTGAAAATATCACATCAAAGTGCTGAGGATGTTACAAACTTCTGAGTGATTGGAAAACATCACATACTTTAGGCATGCTGTCAGGAAAGGCCAGTTCTTGGAAAAGGACATCATGCTTTGAAGAATGAAATGTTAAGGAGAGTGAAGAAGATCTTCAAGGCAATGGACTGACACAGTGGCTGAAGCGTATCGAGGATGGGGAGGCTGATAAGGCAGAGACAGGTCTGCTGTTCACAGGGTCACTCTGAATTGTGGTCAACTTAATGGTACCCAACAACAGTCTAACAGAGCTCTCGTAGCCTGGTGGTAGAGGCTGCACTGTCAATACAAAGGCATACAGCTCAAATCCACTAGCTGCCCTGTGGGTGAAGTATGAGCAATCTCTTTCCATGCTATTTATTGCCTCTGAAAACCCACTGGAGGATCAGCTATGAGTCGGATCTGACGTGAGGGCAAGTAACAACAAGAAAAGCTTAACTTGAAAATGTAAGTAAAGTTTTTCTGTAACAAAGCAGGATTACGCTTCAAAATTCAGTGTGAGATGTGTAAGAAGAGGTTAGCTTTAGCTGCCTTCTCCAAACTACTGCAAGCTAACTATATTATTGTTCTGAGGAGCAGGGGAGAGGCCTGTTCTCTAAAAAGTGTGCTCAGAAGGATGTCCTCTGATTTTAAAAGCACATCTCATTATGTAAAATCACTAGTGGATTAGCACTTGTTCAAAAGCTAAAGTTCTAAGGCAGAATCTTTAAGAATGAAATGGAAGAAAGAGACACTTAAATACCACTGACATGATAATCTCTAAAGCACCCCCATTCCAGAGCGATGACTGTGGGCATCTGTTGCCAGAATTTGCTGTAAACGACACAGATCATGCCTCTGGGAGACAGCAGACATGATTACAAGCAGTGAATACTCATTTATATGGTTAGATGAAGTTTATTCCTACAGTACTTCAGTCATATATTTTCAAACAATACTCTGCAAGAAATAAAGTGTGCTAGGTATAGATCTCAGTCTGGCATAGCCTGCGGAGAGTTTTGCTAACTGTGGCTTTGTGGGAGAATAATGGGCAATCTCCTCCCATGTGAAGCCTTGAAAAACCCAATGAAGGAGGGTCGATTCTGACTCCATGGCAGTGAGTTTGAGTTTTTGAGGTATAAATCTAGAGTGAAATAGACAACATTTTTTTTTTGTTGGGAGGCGACTGGTCCTAAGCATGAAACCATTCCGGTTGGGCATCTTATCATTTCATTGTGCTCTCCTTTTGTGATAGAACTTACCAGTTTACTAATAGAACTCATCTCCCCCGAGGCTTGCACACATGTATGAGAAAGTTTGGGAACACGGCTTATAATTGTGGGAGCAGGTTGAAATTCAGAAAGTCTTCCATCAAAGGTGGGTGAATAAAATGTACCATGTGTATTCACTCCTTGGAATATTAGAGTTAAATGCATAACATAAACTAGGTATTTGCATATAAAGACAATAAACAGGTGCCTTTGGGATTGCAGTGTAGCTTCTTACTCTTAGAGCCCCCTTAAATTAAAAAAAAAAAAAAAGAAGAAGCAAAATACTTATGCTACCTAAGGAAACCCAAGTTCACTATCATAAACTCGTTTCTGAACCCTAGCTGCCCTGCAGGACAGGTTCTCAAAGCTACAGATCTTTAGGGAAGCACCATCATCTTTCTCCTACGAAGCGGTGTATGGATTTGGTAAGCAGCTAAATGGGTTAGCTGCCATGCCGCCAGAACTCTGTGCTTTAGAAGAACGTTTAAATAGTTCAAAACGAAAACCAAAAAAAATATGATAGTTTGTGGACATAGGAAAAGGTAGTAAAATGACAAAAACATGGTGTTTACCAGTGGAAAGAAAAAAGAACAGAATGAGATAGATAGAAAGGGGAGTCTGGTATTTTATTTCTTTTTTCTTTAAAGAAGAAAAACACCATTAACAACAATAATACATCTACAAATTTATTCTGAGGAAATAACCACATAGATATATAATATATATAATTTAGGAAGCTCATTATCCTTTTCTTTCAGACAAGAAACAATTGATTAGGGTGTGCTAGTTTCTGGGCTACACATATTTAATTATTTAATCCCTAGAATAACTTCGGGAAGCTGAGAGATTCCCCCATGTTTAGATACATAGCTAGTTTGTGTAGCCAGGCCAGATGCAAACTGTCATGGAGCCTGTTTACACAGTCAGTAACACAGTGAAGCACTCCAACAGGCAGAAGATTTTTCACCGGTCATCACTTTTCATCCGGATGGTGCCCTACAATCCCCAGAGCCCTTCCATTTATTCTCACCAATGAGGGAGACAAAGAAGATGGTTACATCTACTTAAGAAATAAGAAACAAGTCTCAGAGGCTGAGTGACTTGCTCAAGACAATAAGGCAGTGACTGGGAGAGATGGGGCCCAGGTCCCCAGCCCAGGGCTCTTTCCCACAGTGCGGCTCAAGGTAGCAGAGGTCTCTTGCTACTTCCACCTACACACAGCCTGCTGTGACAAATAATGACACTGCTTTCAAAAGTAAACAAGTCTCTTAACTAAAAATCAAAAGTTGGGGAGGAGGTTCCAAAATAACCTCATTCAAAATAACACCTATTGCCCGCAGCACTTTACTTTTCCCTCCATAGGACTTGTTTCATACACTGTACTGGAATTATCTGTAATTGTAGTACTTAACATAGTCTAGGTAACTGTATAATGGAATCTGGGAGGGCAGAACTGAGATAATGACATGGAAATTCTCAAACTCACCTGGGACTGCCACAAAGAACTTCACAGCATCCCGGTGTCCATGGAAGCAGAGCTGCGCATGAGCCATCGAACAGTATGGAATAAATGTCCCTGGTGTCACTTTATCACTGTTTTCATCACCATATACGCGGATTACACTTCCAGGGCGATTGCCAGGTGCTCCTGAGGTTTTATTTGCTGCAACAGAAAAACCAAATACCAAATATTTCCCCCTAGAAAATGGTAATGATGCAAGAGGTTACTGGTTAATCCTTATGATATTATCTAAAAGCTACAGGCAGTTGAGATAAAGAAAATAAGGGCAGCAATGCCAATTCAAGACAAAGCTGGAAAAAAGAGATACAGCATGCTAGTTATTTTAAGTACCTCAATAAATGGAGCAGGGGATTTTGCCAGTCTAGTAATAACTAAGTTTATTTATTAAATAGATCTATTAAATGAAAAAATATTTCATTAACAAAAAGAAAACAGATGTTACCTGTTTTGTTTTGTTTTAATCCCCATTTTAGGAAAGTAACCAACAGATGGGTGTATTTTTTTAGAAATAAAATCTTTCTTTCAGGTTTGTTGGTTGCTGTTGAATCAATTCTGACTCCTGGTTTCCGTCTCCTCTGGGAAGAATAAGGAGCTCTGGTGGCACAGAGGCACTTGGTTGCTAGCCGAGAAGTGCCATGTTTGGATCCACCAGCTGCTCCGGGGGAGACGAGACAGTTGCCTCCTGTAAAGACTGCAGTCTTGGAAATTCTGTGGGACAGTCCTACTGTCTTAACGGGCTGCTGGGAGTCAGAACTGACTTGACGGCAACAGTTACTCTAAGAAGGCTTCTCTTGAGAGGAGTGGAGAAAACTGTGCTTAAGAGAATCCATCCGCTCCCAGAGAGCAGCCTTTCTTTCCAGCACACTGACAGTGGGCTGGGCTGTTTTAGAATGACCAGACTCACAAAACATCCCCATTCCATGGGCCGGTAAGTAAATGAAAGAAACAGGATCTTTAACAAGAGTAAACAATGTAGATTAATGACAATTTTAAGAAATGTTTCTATGGGAAGGAAAAGTCTGAAGGAAAGTTCAGCTGCAACAAAAGATGATAAACAGACTAAGCTGCTGAGCAGTTTGGTGGCCATGGAACAAATATTAAAAAACAAAACAAAACAAAAGACCTGCTGCAATGCAGTGACTGCAAGTGGATGACATTTAGGAACATTCAAGAAGGTTTTCTAAGAGTGGGAACAGCCTCATAGTGGCCATAAGAAGCCAGGAAGAAGAGCCGGGTTCAGGATCGGCACTTACCCCTCAGCCCCAGTAAACGTCCCTGGTGGAGGATTACGGCTAAAGTGAGAGAGGAGGAGAGGGGACATGGAGGGGTGCATGACAGGAAGGAGAGTTACTGCGAGCCACCACTCAGTCTTCCAGCTGGTAACCTGGTGCTCAACTCCTAACCCAACTAGCACAGTCCAGCTTTGCATGAAGCCAGGTACCAACGCAGTCTTCTAACCAAATGCCTAGAGACTATCTCAGCTTAAAAAAGACAATCAGATTTACCATCACTTAGGTTTTCTTAATTATAGAACAATTTTAGCGAATGTGAATTGAAAAATAGTAGGAACTTAATGTGGGGCATTTAAAAATCTTAATATCCTTCCTTCTTTCCTAAAAAAAAAAAAAAAAATTAAAAAAAAATCCTGTTTTTAAAATGGAATTTCTCTCTTCTAAAAAACAAAAAGGAACTCTGGAGGTCCTGGAATCTCCTAGGATATAAGAAGTGGTCTAAATGTATAGATTTATAGGCGATTGCAGAAAAGACAGCTGCTAATAAGAACTTGGATTCCTCAAAGGCTCTCTGCTGACAGACATTTCCATTTTCCTTGCTCCCTTTCCCCTAAAACAAGGTACGACGATGAAGTGTGTTTATTAGCTTATTTTATGAACTTAAGACATTTGTTTTTCAAACCATTTTCTATCTATGAATTTTGCAACACAAAAACACTTCTTATGTGATGGATGATCAACATAGTATGAGAAAACATTCTGCTCCCAATAATCATAAATCACCCTCTTCAACAAGATTATAAAGGCCTTGTCTCCTGGCATAAAGAAGCCTTGCTGATTTTTTTTTTTAAACTCAAATGAGCTAGCAGAATATAATAAACCGTCTGCTAGGCAGAAATGAAAAACTAGAATGTATATAGGTAATATCTAACATTTTAGAAATAAAGCTGGGAAAAAAATGGACCTTGACCTTTGCTTCAATGAAACTGTGATTCCTGAATTGAGAAAAACGGATTCTCTCACAATGAAAAACTTTTAATTATGAATACAAGGAAAATGTCATTCTCCTAGAATTTATAAGTTACACAGGACGAGTGAGAGAACAATACGTAGCGTTTTGCCATTAGCCTGATTTTCTGAGCCAAGCCATCAATTTGCCACTACCTGTTTCAGTATTTCCCCTACCTGGATTCTGGGCACGGCTATTCCCTACAACTCTCTCACATGCACTGTGATGGTTATCTAGAAGTATACTATACTTACTTTCTGTCAAGGGGATGGAGATAATGACGCCATTTCCTGTCCCTACCCACAGACGATTGCAAGACACCATAAGAGCTGTGATCCTCACAAAAGAGAAGCCCAGTTTTCCAGTACCTAAATGAGGGGGCAAAAAGAACATTTTATTGAGAAACCAGAGGAAATGATGGATCAGATTCCAAGTCTCTTAGGGCAGCTGAATTTTATAAAAGGAAAGAAATGTGACCAGAGCTGGGAGGATGCGGTCTGAAGACATACAGCAAAGCACATGTTTACTCAGGGTTAATAGATAAAGAAAATTGTAGAAATGGCTGACAATATATTGTCAGGAAATGACACAGACTTTAATTAGAGAGCTGCAAAACCAAATCAACCCATGAAACAAAAATCTCACAGAAGAGTATTTACTAGATTAGGAAATTAAATGTGCTTTAGTTTTCTAACCCCAAAGAGTTCTGGCTCATCTTCCATTGTTCTGCATAGATAAGCACAGTCTTTGCTAGCAAAGCCCATATTATTTCCTTATTTATAAACCTAGACTGGAAATTTTAGATATGTAAATTTTGCATATATATTTTAGAAAGAATAGGTACATATTTGGATATAAAGGGAATTTTTACAACTGATCTTACTTTCTAGATTGATTAAACAAATAATATATTTAAGATGCTCTGCATTAGTAATTCACAAGTTCTATCTTTAAAAACTGAAAGCATTTTATAAAATTATAGTGTGAGAAGGAGCCTTAACTTACTCAGTCTCATGCCAAGACCTTACTAATGGTCAGACCGTCCTCTTATATTCACTGGCTTCCTTATCTATACGCCTGCTTCTAGGGAGAGGACCCACACTTACCATCAGGTTCCTTGAGGGCAATGACCCTAAAAATGTTTAAAAAACCTCTTCACTAAAGAGACTTTCTTAACAGTCTATGGCACTGGATTAGGTATTGAAGATACAGCAGGGAACCAGACACAGATAGATGGTCTCCGCCTTTCATGGGTCTTAAGGACTCTTAGTGAGAGTCATTAAATATGAATTACATTAATCTCCATATAATTAAACAATGATAAATCTACAAGGAGAAAGTCTAAGAGACCCTAAATCAAACTTGCAGATCAAGGAATGTCATTCCTGAGTGTAACATGGAGGATGTGATCTGAAAGCTCAGTAAAAGGGACCAAGAAAAAGAAGCTCCGAGGCAGAGAGTACAGGACTCACATGGGGGGCTGCCGTGATATGAAAGGAACTTGCCGAATGATGACGGGTCAATATGAGAAGACTGAAGAGACCACATAAAGTCTTCTGGTCAAATGACAAAATGTAAACCTCACTAGAGGAGAGAGTGGAGGAGCATCGAGGTGGCCCTCCGCACGTGACTTACAATGCAGAGAATGGACAGGTGCAAAAGCAGGGAGATGAGGCTGCAGACTCGTGTTATCAAGGGTAAAATGATGGTGATAGGCGAGGGAATAACAGCAGAGATTTAATTGACTGAAAATTTTTTAGGGGCAGACTTGGCAGTTTCTGGTAACAGTTTCGATGTGGGATAAGAGAGCCATCAGAAATGATCCCAGGTTTCCGTCAAGGATTACAGAGTAGATGGGGCATCAGCCTAAAGATTCAGTGACAAGAACCCAAGCTCACTCACCAGTTCCACCCAGCCATTTCAGACCATTTAGAAAGAAAACATCCCCATTAATGGCAAAGAGAAAGCACTCTGGAAGCTTACCTAACATTTTGCTTACATAAGGCTCAATGTCCACATCCTGTAGGTGTTGATAAGTATGTGCATGATAGAGACGGAGTGTGGAATCCAAGCGAATAGAGACCCACACACCGTCACCCACCCATGCAAGCTGCCGCACTTGGCTCTCCTTCCTGGGGTGTGCATCAAATGATTTCTAGGAAAGATTATTCAATCACAAAGTTAATTTTCTTACATAAGAGCTTGTATTTAAAATGTACTAATATTACCGTGAGGTTCTGATAGGACATTGTAAACAACAACATTATATGATGGTAGTTATTGTTATGAAATAACAGCAACAACAAATATGAGTATTCTTCTACACACAACTGTTTTTATCTTGAATAAAGAACAAAGGAGGAAAGTGTGCTGGACCTCAGGACAGTAGAGGATATCAATTTATGGAAGCAGTACTACTCTGCAAAATATCCCCTAGTCTGATAGGGGGAGGGTGACTGCAGCAGAGCAACACATGAAGTCAGATCGCATTTCACCAAAATGGAACCAACACTGTGCTCTCTCTGCATGTGTGCCGTGTGGGTGCTGTGCAGGTGAGTGTAAAGAGTACAAGTATGCGTGAATAGAAACAACAGAATTGCAAAATGAAGGTCAAATAGTCAATGTTCCAAAGAAATCAGATTTAGGGGAGGAGACAAGACTGTCTGTCTTATTCCTGTGAATCAGCCAGTGGATTCAAACTGCTTGCCTTTGGGTTACCCACTAAGGCACCAGAGCTCCCTAACATACTACTATAGTGCTCCTAAAACACAAAGGTTCAGAAACCAATTTCTAACAAGGCTGACAAGAATCTTCATCTCCCAGTGTTCAGGTTACATGACTATAATCAGCACAGAAAACATGCTTTAACTTGCCTCGATCTTCATGGCCTTTGGCTGGACCACGTAGATTTTGTTCCGATAGCCACACCACACTTTGTCATGTACCACAGTCATGCAGCGGATGGAGTGGTGAGGCCGCCCGAGGTCTAAGAGGTGATAGTTGGATAAATCCCACTGGCCATCTTTAAAATAAAAAGTAAGTTACTCGTTAGTACATAGGATCTTATTCTCATGTATGACACAAGAAATAATCTATTTGAGTGTATTTCTTGATTAAGAACCCACACCCCATGTATGAAGTATAACTTTTATATGCAAACTCGTTTATTACGCCATAGTTCACTTGATCCAAACCTCAAATATTATCCGACCCAACCCACCATTCAGTTATCAGGCTCCTCCTTGAAAACATTTTGTTGACAGTAACTTTTTAAATTCATCACTTGCATTCTGATGTAAAGCAGAAGCTGTGGGCAACTCATTTGTAAAAACTTTAAGAACTGTGTGTACTATACACTTATTGACCAAATAAAACCAAATGAAAATCAACCATCAGAATCATGCTTTACTAGTTTCACTTGGACAATTTCAGTAAAGCAGCTGCTCCATTTTCAGTAAACTATAATCTACCAAGGAATGGTTCTCCATACCTAGATGGAGTCTGCCTCCTTGAACGTAATCAATTATTGGTCTATAGCTTTTCCCACTAGAAATACAAAAGCTCTTTAAAACCAAGTATCCTTGGCATATGTTTTTCACATTTCACTTAAGAGACCCTTCAACCTAATCCATTTTGTGAATTTCCATTAATATGTTGTCTGCCTAGCAGAACAAACCAGGACTATCACTGTAGACTTTTACGTCTATGAAGCTCAAGATTTTCACTAACTCATATTGAGCTGGCAGTCAGTCCTTAGATAATTCTCCCTCTTTAGACAAGCCTCCCCATCTTGCTCTTCTAAACTCGTGTTGCACTTTAACATAGCATTTTATCTTACTCTATTAATATAACTTAGAATTCTATTTTTTCCCCAGCTTCTTTTAACTCACTAGCTAAATGGCCATGGACAAGTTATTAAAAAGCTTTGTGCCGCAGTTCCCTAATTTGCAAAATGAAGACAACAGAACCTATTCTCATAAATTGCTGTGAGGATCATATATTATATAGTTTGTGAAGGGGCTCTTGATGGTAAAACAGTTCTGTCTTTCCTGGATGATAAGGAGCTATTCTAGCAAGTTCTTGGTACCAATCAGAAATGAAGGCACCTATGTAAAGTAGCATCTATCACATATTTCTTTAAGCCCAGAAGGATATGAGAAAAATCTTGCTATATAAATCCATATTCAATGTATCTGTGCTTTTATGACATTCCCCTGATCTATTATGACATACACGACTCTACTACACAAGAATAAAACATTGTTTTTGGCTGTCACAAATATGAACAACTTCTGAAGTTATATGCCACATTTTCTTAATTTAGTCAAAGCAGGTTTTCTGACCTCAATCCTCAAACTCACTGATGTTGAGATGGAACCGACTCATAGCTGATTCTCCACTGGGTTTCAGAGGATGAAATCACATGGGAGGTGACTTGCCTTTCTCTCTCCTTTGGAGCGGCTGGTGGGTTTAAACCGCCAGATAGCTGCTAGCCACCTTGAGGTTATCAGCTCAACTCCCTATGGACTAAGCCACCAGAGCTCCCTTTTTCCCTGATACTTGTATCCCTTTATCTGTTGCTGTTGTTAGGTGCTGTTGAGTCTAGTACAACTCATATAGAACCTACTAACAACAGATCCATCCTGTGTCATCAGTAGATGGTAGAAACACTGGTTTGAAAGAATGACATGCAAATAAACTTCCACCCAATTGAAAATTCTTTAATTTACTTTACCCAAGTGGAAATGAGTATGTAGACTATTTTAAAGACAAAGATAAAAAAATGCTTGTCAACTTTCTTCTAGTTGAGCAAGCATATGAATAAAAAGTAAATGCCTCTGTATCATATCATGTAAGAATATCACGAAATGCAAACTTCTGTACTTATTCTGATGACCACCTTCCCATGAGCTGGACTCTTACTGGATACTTCCTCCTAAGCAGTCATGTATTCACTAATGTCACACATTGTGACTGTGCAGTTTAAACCTTTATTCTTTCTCCTTATATGTATGATGTCTTTAAAATACAAACCCCCCCACCTGTTTGGAAATTTTTTTTTTAGCAATTAAAGTTTATAAGTTCAATGTCACTCACCAACTCCTCTGTGAAAGATTGCAAGGGTGCCATCAGCTAATGCCACTAAAACAATTCCTTTCACATGTCTAAAAAGAAAAAAAATATTTCAAAACTCATCATTCAGGACATAGAAGGGACCACAGGCTACTGAGCTAGCCTAGAACTTTTCAAAATACCAATCCATTGTGAGTTGAGGAACCGAAGACAAACATACTGCTTTTCATATTGTGAAAACTTAACCATGAAAAAAAGTCAAAGAAAATAAATCATGTGTGCAATGGTTGGCTGCATGTTTTACTCTGTGCTTCATCATGGGCTATTAACACAAAGTCCACAGACCACAGACGTAAACCTTGAGTGCAATTACAGAGTCAGCTCTGTGGACTTACAAAATGGCTTTTTATAGTTAACATAAGAAAAATAACAGTAAATCAACGCTCACAGTTTATTCACAAAACATAGAATGACCTAAAACAAATTACTTGACATTTGTTCCCTTTCCTGAAAATAAAAGAACTAGCATGCTGATGAATTAATCTGGCAGTTTTTGCTCTGATTATCGTTTTCTGTTTTACTTTACAGAGGGTTAAAAACATCTTGATACTAATTTATTTATGAAGTACATAAAAACCTTATTGTCTTAAAAATAATTTATACCAAATACATATTAAAAGAAAATATTTAAAATAAAACTTACACAATACTGAGAATTGAATCTTTAAGTTTAATGGAATGGAGACATTTCCTCCACTGGGCCACGGACGAATGGACATACAAACTGCAAGAACAAAGTCAAGATTGGTAAGGCATGGACAATACTCAAGTGGTTGCTTCTATCATACAGTTCACTCAGAAGAAAAAAGGAACATAGAGGCTTCAGGAAAAGACGCTGCTGTTTTTGTCCAACACCCAGAAAATGACAATCAGAGGGGGGTAGGCCTGGGGCACAGAAACACGCTGCCTGAGCAAACTGAAACCTATAAAGGCCAGAACTGGCGTAATGAATGGCCAGTCTCTTAGTCACCCACATTTCTGAGCTGACAGCCCCTTTATGAACTACCTTACTTCTTTGCTATGCTGACCTCTGCGTTTTTTATGGCAGACTGGAGAGTGGCAAACCAGAGCCTACAGGCCAAATCTAGCCTGTCGCCTGCTTCTGAACAGCCTTGTTGTTATGTGCCATGGAGTCACCTGTGACTCACAGTGACCCTATGTACCATAGCTCTGCCCTGTCCGATCTTGAGCCAACCTCATTGTCTCCAACACACCTGGCTCTATTGCCCAAGTCACTGTGTCAATCCATCTCCTCCTAGGTCTTCCCCTCCTGCACTGTCCCTCCACTTTTCCAAGCATGATGTCCTTCTCCAAGGACTCGTCCTTCCTGGCAACATGCCCAAAGTATGTGAGCCAGAGCTTCAAAATCCTTGCTCCAGAGAGAAGCTTGGTTTCACCATCTCAAGGATAGACCCGTTAGTTCTCTTGGCAGTTCATAGTATGTTCAACACTGTTCTCCAGCACTACAACTCAAAGGCGTCAATTCTTCTGTCATGCTTATCACTGTCCAGCTCTCTGATACAACACAAGTAATTATGAAGACCATAGCGTGGATCAGGTATACCTTAGTCTCTAGACTGACACCTCTGCACTACAAGCTAACAATAATTTCTACATTTTTGAATGGCTAGGGGCGGGGGAGAAGTGAGCTTTATAAAATATTCAACTTTCAAGGTCCATAAAGTATTACTGGAACACAGCTACATTTTTAGGGGCAGGGGAAGTCTGTGCGGCACAATGGCAGAACTGAGTAGTTGAGATGGGATTATAAGGTGGGCAAAGTCTCCCATGTTTTTTATCTGCCCTTCATCAAAAAATATTCCAAAGGCCTCATTGTATAGACCCTTTGGAGTGACTGCAACAGTGGGCTGGAGCATGATGGAGATGGTGAGGATGGCACAGGACGGGGTTTGGTTCTGATCGGTTCCTCTTAGGATCACTGTAATTTATGGTAGACTTGATAACACTCAACAACATGGAAAAGATGCATCAGTGACCTTGCTTAACGTGGGAAAGCACATTTTGTAGGAGTCTCAAACACTACGAGAAAGTGCACAGACTATGTAATGTTAGTTATTAACTCCTCATAGGCTTCACTTCAATGAATGCTGGTGGTTCCATGGCTGAAGTGCTCGACTGCTAAAAGGTTAGCAGGTCAACTCTACCAGTCAGTCACTCTATGGAAGAAAGATGTGGCAGTCTATTTCAACAGAGAGTGAAAGAGAGAGTTGTACTATAGCGTCAGAACCGACCCACAGCTGACCCTCCGTTGAGTTTAAAGAGGCTGTTAATCGCACGGGAGGAGAATGCCCTACCTTCTTCCACCCATAAAGATTACAGCATTTGAAATCCTAGGGGACAGTGTCTACTTTGTCTTACAGGGTCACCAGAAGGGAAGCGACTCAATGTCACCAAGTTTTATTTGTGGCTTTCCTAATAATGCCAAACAGGTTTGTTTTCCTGGTGTTTTCTGCCCATATTCTTGCCTATATAAATAAATCTTTCTCCTCATCATCAACGATTCTCTTTCTCTGTGCTGTTCAGGATCTGCTATTTCTGAAGCACCCAGATTTTAAAGTTCTATTTACCCCTCCTTACAAGAATAGTATAAAGGGGGAACATTCTGTTCAAAGAAACATATGGTTAACCATTCAGAAGCAATCCGAGTCCAAATTATGAGGAAGCTGCAACATAACCTCAAAAGTTGTATGTATAAAATTTCTTTTGCATTAATATGTACTTTCATTTGTATTTGTGTATAGCACATTTTCTTTCTTTTCTGATTTCCAAAACAAATGTAAAATGTGAAGATGTAAAAGTGTTGGCACTTACCAACCGTTCTGAGCCCCAAGCCACATGGTTGGTAAAAGGCTGCTCATTTTCTGGGCTTCCTCTCTCACCAGGTCTTGTTCGCTCGGCAATACTGATATTTGATCTTTATACGCATCTGAGTCACTACTAGGAAAAAAGTGGGGCAAAGAAAAAAATATGAGTGCTCTTAGTTCTAATTTTCAGGGCACAAACATTTTATAGTTCATGAGTAAATGTTAAAATTAATTCCAGATAATACAGTAAACTTTGTAAAAGCCAGAACCTGGATAATACAGTAAGCTTTGTAAAAGCCAGAACCTGTGTAAGGTGGAAACCTGTCAGGAGAAGGAAGCTAAAACAGTGTCCACTAAAACAAGTAGCACAGAAGTGGTAGCACACCCTGTCAAGGCAGAGGCAAGGCCGTCCTGTCGAGTTCCGGCTCTCATAGGTTTTGCTGTAGTAAGATGTTAGGAGACGCGAGGAACCGAGTAAGGATGGCAAGGAAATACAAACATGAATACTCAGATTTTAACTATGCCTCTCCTGAAGAGCTGCCTAAATGTTACTATAAGTTTTTTGCAGGGGAAGAAAAAGCAAGGAATACTGGTTTACTTTAAAATAACAAATACAAAGATGGATGGTATAAGTTTTTCAAAGTAAGTTTATTAATAAACTAAAATCACGCTTACATTTTACCCCCAGATCCTCATTCTGAAGGATTAGCAGGGCACATCTGATAATAAGGTAAACTCAAAACAGACAAGCCAAGCTACTAATTTTAGTTTATTCTTAACTTAAAAGAATTCATTAAAAGGGATTAAAGTAGTCACACAATTAAAAGAGCCTAAAAGAATTTTCAATAAACTCTACATATACCAATTTTAAAAGGGTCAGTCTAACCTAAGCGGAGAACTTAAACAACGGCCGGTTTTACTGATAGTGTGGGAGTGAGCATGGGGGTGGGGGTTAAAATAGAAAAAAATTATTCATAGAATGGAAAAGAACAAGCGTCATACTAACCAAAAAAGTGAAAAGCTGTACCAGAGAAGCACATTATCAGAGAGATTTTGATAGTGTACTTTTTAGGGTAGATGGACCAAACAGGAGATCGGGGACAGCAAAGAAAGTAAGACACAGTGGGAAGAGGCAGTAACTTCAAGACTACAACAAAGTCAATTAGCGGATTTGAGATTTTGTTTAAATTTTTTTTTATTTTGACTGGATTTTGAGATTTTTTTAATTTTTGGATTCTGACTGGATTTTGAGATTTCTTTTGCAGGGAGAGAGGGAGAGAGAGAGAGAGAGAGAGAGAGAGAGAGAGAGAGTGTGTGTGTGTGTGTGTGTGTGTGTGTATACTAGGTAATTTCCCCAATAGCTATGCTAACCCATTTGCTGGGTTGTTGTTTTTATTTTTTCCTTTTAAAGGGGAAAATGTGAATGCGGAGCCCACCACCCTAAGTTCCCATACTAGGGGAAGGGGGGGTGCAGCCCATCCAGCACCACCCCTGCCAGGTGAGTACTGCTGACTGCCTTCTATACCTGGCCTGATACACTGGGGAGAGATCCTCTGGGATCTGCACTCCCAGAGGGTCTGTGAACACGTGCTCCGTGTACACGCCACTCTGGGAGACGTCCACGGTGTCTTCGGCCGACCCTGCGTTGCCTTCTGTAGCTTCAGTTGCTTCTTCGGCTGTTGGAACACTTTCATCAACCTCGCTGTTTTCTGCTTCCGTTTCTAGAAAGTAAGTTAACACATTAACTATTCTGAACTTCAGTTCTTCCCTCTCCTCAAGTTTCCCCACACAAACCCCTGCTGCAGACTCTTACCCTCCCACCCATCCTCTTCATCCACACTGTATAAAGGAGAATTCTCAATTGCATTTACGTCATCATAGCATCTTGTTTCAAGTTCTTCCATATTTATTAACATAAGATCTAAAAAAGCTAACAATTCAGACTCTCTACAGATGGTGTGGAAACATACCTGGTGGTTTTTCAATGACTGGAGAAGCACCATTGGTATTAGGCGAAGTGGCAGATCCTGTCACACCTTCTGTGGTGCAACCAACCACTGTGATCCCTCCCAGAAGGCTGTCTGTTTCTGCTGAGCTATTGCTTGTCATGCTTCCACACAAAGATGCTTTGTCTACCTGGCCTGACTCAGAAACCTCTTCCCCTGCAGGATAGTCTGTTTCCCGTGCTCCTAGAAAGACAGCAAACTTTCTTGTAACTTCCAAGTGAACTCTGATAGACAAATAGCATATCTCCATGAAAGCAACTTTAGGTCTGAAGTAACAGTGTGCTGGTAAGATAGCTACTGAACCTACCACCAAGGCTTTTATTCACAGAGAACAGAGGAGGTTTAAAAATGAAGATAGTACTACTGTAGATACAGTGCAAGTAAACATAAGAAAATGTATGAAATGAGGCTTCTGGTCTTAGAATGAGCTACTTGTTGACGGTAAGTGTCAGATAATCTAGTGACTCTCTGAACATCAGACGGAAACCTTGTCCTAACCTGCACCATCCACATGCTCTTCACCACACTCAAGTCTAAAGTTGCTGTACCTGTGTCAATCTGTCTCTGTGAAGACACTCCTCCCTCTTTCGCTGATCTACTTTTCTAAGCATGAAGTCTTTCTCCAAGGACTGGCGCCTCCTCACAATATGCCCAAAGTATGTGAAATGAAGTTTCACTATTTTTGTCTCCACGGAGCATTCTGGTTGCCCTTCCTCCAAGACAGATTTGGTTTGTCTTTTGTTCTCCATGATATAGTCAATACTCTTGACCAACAATACAATTAAATGGTATCTTTCTTCAGTGTTTCTTATTCCTTATCTAACTTTCACATATATAAAGAAATTATCGTAACGTAGATTAGGTGCACCTTAGTCTTTAAACTAATATCCTTACTCTTTTAGCACTTTAAAGAGGTCCTTGAGGGGTTTGTGCGGGGAGAAGGGTGCAACAATGAATGAATGGAATCCCAAAATCTCTGTAGATGTTCATTGAAATGAAAAATAAACAACCTAAATTTAAAAAAAAAAAAAGAGGTCCTTGAGAGCAGATTTGCCCATTTTTTTAAATTTCTTCACTACTGTAGTAGGAATGTTGATTTTAAATATAAGTAAAATGAAATCCTTAACATCTTCAATCTTTTCTCCACCATAATACTGCCTATTGGTCCAGAGGAGAGGATTTTTGTTTTCTTAATGTTGAGATATAATCTATATTGAAGGTTGTAGTCTTTGATCTTTTTCAGGAACAACTTCAAGTCTTCTTCACTTTCTGCAAGTTGTCTTCTACATATGTTGCTGATGAGTCTTCCTCCAATTCTGATGCCACGTTTTTCATCAAGTCCTGCTTCTAAGATTATGTGTTCAGCAAGACTGAATAAATATGGTAAAAAGCTATAACCAGACTCACACTTTTCCTCATTTTAAGCCATGAAATGTCCCCTTGTTCTTTTTGAACCACTGCTTCTTCCATGTACAGGTTTCATATGAGCATAATTAAATGTTCTGGAATTATCATTTTCTCAGCGTTATCCATAATTTATTATGAACCACATCATCAAATGCCTTTGCACAGTCAATAAAATATAACCAAACATATTTCTGGTACTCTCAGCTTCAGCCAAGATCTACTTAACATCAGCAATGACATCCTTTGTTCCAAGCTATCTTCTGAATCCAGCTTGAATTTCTGGCAGTTCCGTTGGTATACTGTTCCAGCCAAGTGATGCATGAAGCTTCTTCTTTTTTTTTTCAAAAAATTTTTTATTTTATTATTTTTGTGTGCGTGTACCGTCAAATCAGATCTGACTGGTACAAGAGGAGATTGTCCCTCCTTCCCCGGCAGAGCATCTGGTGGATTCGAACCGTGCACCTCTGGGATTGTAGTTGCAGCTACTTGCCACTAGGCCACCAGAGCTCCCCTTGCATGAAGCTACTTAATGAGGTCATTATGAAGCCACATAATGAAATCTAATTACATATGACAAGAAGTCATCAAAGAAAAAACCATCAAGATTACCATTTGAAACATGTTATCCATGATTGACTCAATAACTGGGGTAAATGGAGGAAGATTGTCAGAGACAATGACATTGGCTCAAGATAGTGCAGGGCTGTACATAAAGTTGCTATGAGTTGCAAGTGACTCAACTGCATTTAACAGTAACAAGTTAAAAACTAATCACACTAGGTATAGAGAATGTTTTAAGATACAAATAAGATATTTAGAAACTGAGCATTTGCAAAGTAAAATAGACAGCTTAAATTTTCAAAATAAAGTTTTAACACCATATAATGTTTAAGCCTTTAGACTTTAGAAAGTTTAAAAGAGGTCTTCTATTTCTAATCAAAATACAACCAAATAATTTACAAGATAAAGATAAGCCAAGCCCACTATTGCCTAGTTGATTCTGGCTCACAGGGACCCTCCAGGACACAGAACAACAGGTCACATAGTTTCCAAGGCATAAATCTTTAAGGAAACAGATGGGCTCATCCTTTTAAGAGGCGGCTGGCAGGTCAGCCTTCAGGTCAGCAGCTGAGCTCTTTATCAGGGCTCTCCAATGTAAAAAGAAATCTCTTTAGTTTAATTTTTAAAATGTTTTAGCATCAAATAATATTTAACATAGAACTCCAGAAGGCCTAAGCAAGTTCTTTCATTACTTGCCAATCTAACTAGCCTCATGCCCTCTGTTTCTCAGTTATCTTAGCACGTTGTTGTTGTTGCTACTGGGTGCTGTTGAGTTCCTATGAACAACAGACCCTATGAACAACAGATCTGAATCCTGTCCTATCCTGTGCCATCTGCACCATCTCTGACATACTTGAGCCATACATGCTATACCAATCCACCTTACTGAGGATCTTTCTTTGATCATCCTTCCACGTTCCCAAGCACAATGTCCCTCTCCAGTGAATGGCCTCTCCTAGCAACATGCCAAAGTATGTGAGACAAAGCTTTGCCTTCCTTGCCTCTAAGGAGCACTCTGGCTGTACTTTCTCAAAGACTTATCTGCTTGTTCTTTTGGATATCCATAGGATAGTCAGTACTCATCTCCATCACCACAATTCAAAGTTCAGTTCTTTTCTGTCATCCTTATTATCGTATTACTAATGTTTTATTTTCTTCACAGTATTTTTTACTACCTGAAAATATCTGGCCTAGTCATTTCCTCCTAGTTTACATCTGACCTTCCCCGACCAGAGCAAATTCCATTAAAACAAGGTGTGTTAACGATCTCTGAACCTCACATCCTCTCCTGCCCTGCAGGAGGGACTTATAGAGTCACCGCTCACTCTTACCTGGTACGCTTGCAATACACAGAACATGAGAGTTACAAACAGTGAAGCTGTCTAGGATGTTGCCTGGTTGAATAGCATCAATAATGATAACTTTCGTAGCTGAATGTGTGCTGGTACAGATCCAAACTAGACTGGATAATTCTTCTTGATTTTTCAATTCCTTTTGCTGTTCCTGTATAAGCAAAATAAGGAAATGAATGTTTAAGAATAAATGTACATACCAATATTCAAAAGACTATGACATTAGAGTAAAAAAGAAACAGGATTTCAAATTTACTTCCTAGATTTTTGGAAAAGTAAAGATACAATCACCTTTTAATAATTAGTAGACTGAAAACTGGCAGTTAAAACAGCAGTGATGTGAAGAGTGCTATATTCACGGTGGTATTAGTTCACAAGTACACACGTTGGTTGAAACTTTTTGCTGCACCCATACTTTTAAGCTCATACTTTATTGTATATAAACTACAGCTCAATGACGTAGATTAGAAGGTAGAGGGTGAGGGTAGGCAATAGCAGAGGCACAGTAACCCAAATCAGAAGTTAGAGCAAAGAAACAAGAAGGTAAAATGTCAGGGCCTCCACTCACCTTGAGCTCCTGATCTAACTTATCCAAACTACTCTGAGATGCACTTCGCTGTTTACTGCCTTCTGCATCCAAAGTCGTGACATCCTTGTAAAACACACTTGCTCCAACAACAGAACCCCCATCTCTGGTCTTCCCACCAGATAAATTGACGCCAACTGCACACCACAGCTTTAGGAGCAAACACAGAGTGACAAGTAAATATACACCAAACCCATTATTGCTGTGTTGATTTAGACTTGTAGTGGCCTTAAGACAGAGCAGAATAGGCCCACACAGTTTTAAAGGCTGTAAAGCTTGAGAGAAGGAGTGCTTTATCTTTCTCCAGTGGAGTGGCTGGTAGGTTTGAACTGATAAGCTTTCAGTCAGCAGCCAAGCACTTTACCACTGTGAGCTATCAGGGTTCTGGTTGTAAATCCAGATCTTAAATATTTATAGTATTTCTCATCTAAAGCCAAAGAATAAACAACTTCACCCACATTAGTAATTTTTCACTTTGTTTTGTTTTAGATAAATAAACTCCCCAGAGTCTAGTTAAAGAGTACTTCCTTCTTTTAGTTTCAATACTTACCTTCATTGATGCATCTTTTTCATCTAGGGGTCTGAGATAAACAGGCACAGGTAAATTTTTCATCTTATTTTCCCCTTGACCATTGGTTACCTTTTAAACAGGGCCAAGGAAAAAAAGAGGGGAAAAGAAATAGTGGTAAGCCTCAACAAAAGTGAACCTCTTATGGAATAATTAAAACATGGACAAGCACTACTGCTAGATATTTTACTGCTTGAGATCAAGTTCAAGTTAGTCTTAACATTCTTATTTGAAAAACAAACCAAAAAATCAAGTGGTAATTACAGAGGAATAAATGGTATTCTATTAGAGCTCAGAAAAAATGCACTAATTGTGTGTGTCTGTGTGCACGCATTGTGTGTACACATGTGGACTGTCTTCTGAGGTGAAGAAAAAGAAAAGTTAAAGGTCCTGGACTCCTTAAGTCAACAGTTTGAAATGTCCCACCATCAATAGTTCTTTTAAACAGCAGGGAACTCTAGTGGCCTAATGGGTAAGGAGTTGCACTGCCAGTGCAAAGATAAGTGGTTCAAATCACCAGCTGCTCCAAGGGGAAAAGACGGGCAATCTCCTTGTGTGCAATATACAGTCTCTGTAATCTTACTGGAAGGTATGCTCAGTTCTGACTCAATCGTTATGAGTTTTAAAGAGCAGACAGTTTTGTTTTTGATGTGTTTTTTTTTTTAAACCCACATTACCCCAAAAATCTTTCAGTATTTAAAATAGAATAGTCCTGGTTATGAAGGATAATGTACCTCAAGTTTCATGCACTCGGTCACCTCCTACTGACCTCTCCTCATCCTGACAGACTCAGAGGCAATCCACCTGAGCTCCAAGGATATAGCAAATAGTCTGAAAATCACTGTCCTGAACTTGTGTCAAGTGCGCAAGATAAGCAGAGCTGAGAAGAATGTTTTAGATCCTCCCATTCCCAAGCCCCTTGACCTCATTTCCCACGAGACCCTCCTACCATGCTCACAGATTACCTGCTTGTACTTCTGAGGCAAACTCCACCCATAAGCCTGAACTCTACCATCTTCCTTCTGAACATGAGCCTTCACCTGACGGTACTGCTCACGCTTTTGCTCTCGTCGTGAGGCTAAGCTAGCTTCAGTTCTGAAACACAGAAATGAATTTTATTTTTAAAAATGCTGTATTAAAACTGTTTTTTTAAAAGCCATACAGTGAATAAAGTACCCAAGCACTAACAAGTTAGCAAGCAGCCTATTAAATTAAGGTTAATCATAAGCTATCAAATTTATGTCAGGTTTTAGGTTTGCAAATATTAAAGAAAGCTGTGTGAGTGCTTGTGTGTGTGTGTGCGTGCACACACACGTTATCTTGAGTACGTATGTATTTTTGTCACCTTTTCTGTCCATTCAATAAATATGTACTGAGAATTTTCTCATGCTAGAGAATGCACTAGAAATGAACAATTCAATGAAAAGACAAGAATGTTCTTGGATGGATAATGTAAGCTAAATTCTAGATTCTATGAACTCATTTCAAAAGATAAAAATGTAAGTTGACCTGGTAAGATTTAGAGACAGCTATGGAAAATGATTCTATAACAATATTTCCTTTGGTTATTTATATTTTTGTGAAAAGATCTATCATTTAAAGCATAGCTGATAAACCTATGCAGGTACCAGGTGCTTTACAAAAACTGCCTTATTTAATGCTAACATTTCTGAGATAGGCTACATTTTACAGGCAGAGAAATGGGTTCTAAGAGGTTAACAGGATCAAGTTTATCCTAATGAGTAGCAGTCTGAACCAAGTTTACCACCAAAAGATTTGTTCAAATAATTAAGACAAAAGTTCATACAACAGGTCTTTTATATCTGTTTCTTATGAATATCGTACCAGCAGAATTTGGATAGTTTAAGAAATTTTCCTCATTGGGAAAACTGTGAAATATAAAAGAAACTGAGTACAAGGCAGCCAAGTTATATTAAAAGAGTGTGTGTGCGCGCGCGTGTGTGTCTATATATATATATATATATATATATATATATATATGCCTCATAACATTGTATAGATTTTTTTTTAACCCTAATAGCTAATGGGGCAAGAACAACGTGAACTGCTAATTTATTTAGGGTACAATCACTAGTCTAAAAATACTTACTCTTCGCTGAGGAAATCAAAGGCTTTGGACTTATCCCCTGGGAGTTGAGATAATGTGCTGCTTCTTTTCTTGACAGAAGGAGTAACATGAGAGGTTGGTGCATTGTACTTCAGATTTACAGGTGGTTCAGGCTTCTTAGTAGTGTTACTTGAGGAACTGAAAAGTCGGCTGAAACTAGTATTTCGGGGGGGGGGGAGAAATATAAGTGCATATATATATACACACAGACACACGTATCACATGCATTGTGAAGAACCACCCATAGTTTTCTATAAACATTTTTATGCTCAAGAAAAATCTAGAGTGCTTTTACAAAGAATTGAGTTATAAACTGGCAAAAACATTTTTGGTAGTCACACACTGCAGACTAAGCAGTAACTCACAGCCAAAAGCAGACTTTCATGGAACAGAAATTGCTGCCTAGAAAAAGCTGACCCTTATTTCAGTTAGTAATTTGCATAATTAAAGGAATACAGGAATTCAGCTCTTGAATACAGGGAATTTCTTTTCCTGAGGAAAAAGAGGGTTCCTTTGGCTGCCTCCTACTTGAGGCCATGGAAGAGTCACTATTAAACAACAAAGTTATGGCTGCAGAATTTTAACAGACACTCAGTATGCCAGTTCTGAAAAAAGTTTTATAATAAAATAGTAGCACACACATCACTATTTTAGCAAAGTGTCTGTATTTTCTGATTAAACACAATTTAAATATGTATTTTCACATTCATTTTTTAAAAAATTTATGCTTCTATTAAATAACAGATTCAAAGAACGGATCATTTTTAAGCCCAGTAAATACAGTATTTCTTTTATGAATGTAATGCAAGTCCAGTGGGCACACATGTGTGCTCATGCACACACACACACACACACACACACACACACACACACACACTCCCTTAAGCTTCACAAATGTTAAGCTTTTCATCTCTTTGTAAATTTTCTAACAATCACAAAGCCAGTAAATCTATAGCAAATTTAATGGCGGCCCAGGTAACTGCTAACTTTATAAACAGTATCCCCTTATTTTATGGAATTTTGCAGAGGATTCAACCAAATGCATAACCAACACGATGCAGCTTACAACACATTTTTTTATCCTCAAGAGCAGGCTTACCGAGCTGGCACACTATGTATCAAGAAGAGGAGAAAGAAAAGTTGGTTTGCTTTATTTAAAAGGTCAGTTTAGTTTTCTATCCCAAATTTTTTACAAAAGAATAAACCCTAGCATATTATCCCTGAAAATACTGACTGTAATTTTGTCTCAAAACACTACTTAATATCCTTACTTGTTTTGGTTTCTAAATAATTTATTTGGCTGTTGTTGAGAATATACACAGCTAAACCATATACTAGTTCTCTACATGCTCTTAAATTTGTGTTTAGATACTTACAACTGCCAAATGCTTGATCTTTTTTTTTCTTGCATGGCTGGATTTTCTCTTGATGCCCTATATTAAATAGAACAAAAAGGAGATGATCTAGTTTTCTATCTAAAGAACAAAGGAAGTCCCAATAAGTTTACAGGCACATGCAAAGGAGAGGTAACAAATTCAATAAATTGTTATTGTGGAGGGTAATAGTATTAAGATAAATAAAATATCACCACTTCCCTCAAGGAAGTATTAGTCTACTAAGAAAAATAGTATAGTTATGCTAGAATATTCAGTACCCTTCTACTGAGAAGGAAGTTTTTAACTTAAAAATTACTGCTTGCAAAATCTGGTCTTTACATAAAGATCTCTCATTAAACAGTTTGGCACTATACTGTTCATTTTGATAGGAACAAAACATTTTCATCACTGAGAAGATGACTCAGGAAGGCAAAAGTCTAAGGTGGATTGACAGATAATTAAACAAAAATTTCAGAAAACATGGCAATCCAATTTGATTAGTAACATGATAAAGATCCTGCCATCACTATCAAATTGCCCTTTCCCCATCATAGATTTTTTTTAAGGGTTAAGTAAGTTTGAATTCAATGAAAAAGTTAAAATGCCATAAACTTTTACATGCTAATTACTACTAGAATGAAAAACAGCAAAGAAAAGTGAATCCTATCTATGTGCCTTCAATTTTCTTACAGTACTTATTCACTATTTAAGGAACTTAATAAATCTATATCTTTGATCTATTAAGTATGTAAAAAAAGCCATGTCTGAGTACATATTTTCTTGCTCAATAAACTGATTTCTTTTTTCTTCCTATTGGCTATTAGCAATTACAATTTTAACAAATTAAGGTATATCTGTATCAGTCTTTCTGATCACTTGCTATGCATCTGAGAGCTGGACAATGAATAAGGATGAGAGAAAAAGAATTGACGCCTTTGAGCTGTGGTGTTAGAGAAGATCACTGAACATCCCATGGACGGCAAAGAGAACAAACAGATATGTCTTGGAGAGGGTGCAGCCAGAGTGTTCTTTGGAGGCAAGATCATTGATGAGGCTTCATCTCACATACTTTGGGCATGTTGCTAGGAGGGGCTATTCCTTGGAGAGGGACAAGATGCTGCAAAGGGTGGAGGGTTGGTGAAGGAGAGGAAGCCCCTCAAACATGTAGATTGACACGGTGACTACCGCAATAGGCTCTTGTGTGTCAGGAAGTGTGAGAATGGCACAGGATAAACCAGGGTTCACATCTTTTTTTCCACAGGATTTTTTTCACTCAACTCAATGGCAACAATGACAACAATAACATAAAATGTATACTCACTCTAGCACGACATTGACATAGGAATACTACAGAAGTCACAGCTGAAGCATAAACTTAAAAGTACTGTGCCATTATGTAGTGTTACTGCTAAATCTGATGTAACTATATACATATATGAATGAATATATGGGTAAATTAGGAGAGTGATTTATAAGCTTTTTTGTGAGCCTTTCCTAAATGAAAAGGGATACTGATATTGAAAATATCGACCATTAGATGGCAGCATTAAATGAGATTTAAGATTCAGCTGACTGAAAGTTGAAATAGAACAATGAGTTTCACCTGAATAGTCAGAAAAGGGTGAAATACAACAAAAATTAGGAGTCATATAGGATAACTAAGTAACAATTATTTCTTTCCCTCTGATATTGTGTTGCTGTACAGAGGCAACTCGTGGTTGCTGTGATGTGCCAATTGTGGTAACGGGTACCCATGGTGGACAGTGTTGGCTGGAGCTTCCTGACTAAATCAAGCCTGGAAGCAGGAGCGGCATCCACTTCCGAAATGGCTTGCCTCCGGAAACTCTATGTACGAACAGTGCTCAGGCTCTTCGTTCATAGGGTCGCTATGAGTCGTCTACAACTCTACGGCATCAAACAACAACAACAACAACAACATAATATTGCTGTGTGCTGTCAAGTTGGAACTGACTCACAGCTGACCCTCCAGTGGGTTTTCAGAGGCAGTTAATCGCATAGAAGGAGACTGTCCATTCTGCTCCCTCAGGGCAGCTGGTAGATTCCAACCACACATCTTTGGGATTGAGTGCAGTTTCTTAATACTAGGCCACTAACACTTTCTTATGAAGCATATTAAATTTTGTTACTGTCTTCAACTTATTGCTAAAGTACTGCTAAGTTTTACATTCTCTTGAAAAAATGCCCAGCAATCTTAATAAAAACTGCCTTGAAGAGGTTATGGGTACATTCTCCTCAGAGTCTTATAATGGCTTTAAAAAGTACCTACAATGATCCTATTCTGCCATTAATTCTCACTGTTACTTTAGAAGATCTCTCTTAGTAAATAGAACAAAGAGACTGGAACTTTAAAGCAGGATTCTAGTTCTCAACGAAGGAACATTTAAACCTAGGAAAAAAGCCGAAAACCACTAGAGCACTCCTCATACAAACCGAATCATCTCTGTCCATCGAACAGCTTCTTGAAGTTCCATCAGCCTCTCTTTATACTGATTTCTCTCCATGAGAACTCGGGCCATTTCTACTCTAGTAAACCGCTTTCTCTGTGCTGTGGGAATATCACTCTGCAATGAAAACAAGATGCCAGGTCATAGTGGGAGTGTAAGTATGTTTTGGTTGATTAGTTGTTTTTACTTTAAGCTTCATGTTAGAGTCAACAAAATCTCGGGGAGAGCCTTTGTATTTAAAAGACAGTTGTTATTATATTTTGGAAGAACATTCTTGTAAGTGGTATAGCACTCTTCAGTCAATATGCTGTACTGAGGTAACCTGGGGTTTCTGTGATGCTGAATCTTGTACCATTGGCATGTCAGATGCCATAATGGTTACCCATGGTGGACAGTGTTTGGTGGAGCTCTAAGTTTAAAACAGGTTTGGAAGCAGAAGTGGCATCTACTTCCCTAATAGCATGCCTCTGTAAACTCTGTGAACTCTGATAATGGCGATGGTTGTGGAAGACCTTCAGGCCTTTTGTTCATAGGGTCACTATGAGTCGTGCTCGACTTGACAGCAATCAACAACAACAACAACTCAGACTTAAAGAGTACCTTTAAGAATTTAAACATTTCTTAATTTAAAACAGAATGAAGTAAATAAAAAAAAAACAAGAACAGTACAAAAAAAATTCACTGCCACCAAGTAAGGGCCGACTCAAAGCTGACCCTCCAGTGTATTTCTGAGACTGTAAGTCACAGGAGAGCAGCCTGTCCACGTGTCTCTTCCCTTGGGGTGACTGTGAATTCAAACAGCTAGAGCATGTGGCCTTTGGGTTAGCAGCACAACTCCCTCCACGCTGCATCACCCAACTGAAAAACTACTTTTGACACCAAGCTAGAGGCAGGTAATTTCTGAGTATAAATATGGCCATTTTAACAAATCACAAAGGAATTACAAAGAACAGTATAGATTTTAAACAAAACTCAAATAAGCTAATGCTTCTATAGAAGTTTAATATTATCTTACAAAGACAAGTGCAATTGTAATAGTCACTAACACACCAACAAAAGTCAAACAGGATGAAGACAAGTGCATTAACCAGAATTCTGTTTAGGGAGAACATGGGATGCAAGACAACAAGGATAAATATAGCTGGCTCACTCACAAACAAGGAAAGTTGAACCATACTTCATAAGGATAAACAGCTGGTATGAGGAAATGATCTTCCCTCTGTGCAAAGGGAAGTAGTTTCCTCTAGAGTTGAGGAGCAGAGGGAAACCCCAATGTCTGGTAATGCTCTGGGGTTCAGGCTGTGTAGCCGATTGTCAAATATTAATTCTTGATGTTTCAAAATATACAGTTTAGTGTGTCAAATATTTTATAAAAAGCATTTAAGAAACTATAGCGAAACAGAATGCTTTTTCTGTCCAGGATATTCACATAATAGAGGTTTAGGTCCTGCTCAGCCACTCCTGTAGAAGGAGTGATGATCTAGCAGCTAGTAGGCTAACAGCACAGGGAGGTATGAACGTCTTCTATTCTTTTGTATTTACATATATTAACAACAATAAAGACTAAATGGCAAGTACTAAAGTTCTCGCTAACATTCAATAAGGTTTCCTATTTCTGAACAAAATTTGAAACAAAACTAACAACAACAAAACAAAATGTCCTGATTGCCCCAAGTCTGAACATGCAGACACAGACAGGCCGGAGCACAAGGGCCACGGATGATAATGAACACACTTCATGCAGCTAGAAAGTTATCTTATTCATGAGCATAAACACAGCTTCTTTTTTATCCTTATTAAAAAAAGTACAGAACTGTAAACTCACATCATCATCATCTTTTGCTTTCTGCCTTGCATCTTCAGCTTCCGCACGAGCTCTAGTGAGGGGAGAAGAAACATGTTATTGAGTTGGTTCCATCGTTTCAAAAACAAAGCTCAGTTTAACGAATCTGATGACAACAGTGGCTGTTACTGTGAGGTAGCAGTCAGTCAGAACTGACCGCCATCTTTCTCCTGTGGAGTAGTTTGAGCCGCATGCCTTAGCATCAATACAGGGTGATTTTTCTTTTTTTAAAACAGAGCATTTAACAACCTTCCTTAAGGGAATATTATCACTTCCTTAAGGGAATATTATCAATATTAGCACTGTTTTTGTAAAGGGGAGCTCTGGTAGCTTAGTCATAAGTAGTTACACTGCCAACCCAACAGCACACAGTTCAAATCCACAGGAGAAAGATGGACAATCTCCTGTGTGTGAGTTACTACCTCTGCAAACCCGTCTGAGGATTAGCTATGAGTTAGTTACAACATCAAAGTACATAATAATAAAAACATTTTAAAAAAAGCCACAAAGGGAAAAAAAAAGTTAAAGGCAAACAACTGGTGCTGCTAATTTCCTTATTATTAAAATGAAGGTTTGAGCAGTTCTTATTTTCTTCACATTATAGCAGACACAAAAAATCTGATTAGATTTGAATGACACAAGGATAATACAAAGGCTTGTTCACAGAAGAGGTAACAGAGAGGGGTATGTCACACCACCCTACTCCACGAAGCTTGTGGCTGGCCCTTCCTGGCTTGAGAGGGCAGAAGATACCGGTCTCGGGATTCTGTCTACAATCCTTCTGGGGCACACTGGCAAAGACCATGTGGTTTAGAACAGTCTCATCAGCACTTACTTCTTAAGCTCTTCCTCCAGTTCTCTGTTCTTCTCCTCCAGCTTGAGTTTGGCTTGTTTCACAGCTTCCAGTTCCCCTTGAAGCACATCTTTCTCACAGGTCAGTTCATCAACTTTTGCTATCAAATCATTCTTAACCACATTCAAAGCATTTCTGAGAAACACATATTTCAAAAGGACACCATTACAAAGAAATATACACTCTCTCCATCATTCAGGCTATTCTTTTGTAGACTAAAGTAAATACAGAATCACAGAGCTCAATGACTGAGTATTTGAAGACATTCCATCTGACGTTGCTTGCTAGCTCACGATGAAAAGAACACAAACTGTTTTTTTTCTCACTTATCAAAACAAGAATAAGTGTATTGTAAAAAATAAATGCATTGAGAAAGGCTGGATATCAATTATAAATGTCAGATTTAGGCAAGATTATAAAGCAAATATTTTTTTAAAAAAGCACTCATAATTAATTCCAAGAAGGTATTCTATAACCAATAACATAAAATTACTCTCTAATATTATCTTTACTAATTAATGAGGAAAAGGTAAATAAACTGGAAAGAAACTTAAAAACAAACTAAGCTCTTGCTTCTCTGAGGTACAGTCTGCATAGAATCTCATTATATTTACATCCTGTCTCGATGCGCTACAGTCAGATGTTCCAAAGCTCCCCGGCATAGTGACAAAGAGGTCGAGTTGAGTTTTCAGCATGGCTCAGGACCTGGCCCCTAAACTAAAACTTTTAAAAAAAAATTATTTCATTATTTTTTGTGTGTACCGTCAAATCAGATCTGACTGATACAGGAGGAGATTGTTCCTCCTTCTCCAGCACAGTATCTGGTGGATTTGAACCGTGTACCTCTGAGATTGCAGTGCAGCGTCTTGCCACTAAGCCACCAGAGCTCGCTAAAACTCTTTATGTGCTTGAAAACCTAAGACCTCACAAGCTGTGTTGTTGTTGTTATGTGCCGTCGAGTCGCTTGCGACTCATAGCGACCCTATGTACAACAGCCCTAAACCCTGTTCTATCCTGTGCCGATCACACTGCCTCTGACACACCCATCCCGATTACCCCAGTCACTGAATCAATCCACCTCATAGAGGGTCTTCCCCTCCTGCGCTGTCCCTCCACCCTCCCAAGCATGATGTCCCTCTCCAAGGACCTGTCTGTCCCTCCTTACAACATGTCCAAAGTATGTCAGATGAAGCCCCCAAATCCTTGCCTCCAAGGAGTAGCCTACTTTAACCCTCTCCAGGATGAATCTGTTTGTTTTCTTGGCAGTCCATGATACATTCAATACTCTTCTCCAGCACCACAGCTCAAAGGCGTCAATTCTCCTTCTATCCTCCCTAGTCATTGTCCAACTCTCTGATGCCTAACAAGTGATTGCAAAGACTATGGCCGGTATCAGACGCATCTCAGAAAGACATCATTGCTCTTCAGTATACTTTGGAGAGGTCCTTAACAGCAGACTTTCCCATCACAATACGTCTTTTCATTTCTTGGCTACTGGTGCCAAGAGTGTTGACCGTGGAGCCAAGCAAACTGAATCTGTGAACAATCTCAATCTCTTCACTATCCATCCTGATGCTGCCAATTGGTCCAGTGGAGAGAATCTTTATCTTCTTGGCATTGAGCCTCAGTCCATACTGAAGGCTGCAGTCCTTGACCCTCTGCAGCAAGTGGATGAGGTCCTCCTCAGTTTCAGCAAGCAGGGTTGTGTCATCTGCATAATGCAGACTGTTAATAGATCTTCCACCAATCCTGACGCCACACTTCTCCTCACAGAGCCCAGCCTCTCGGATAATCTGCTCTGCATACAGGTTGAAAAGGTATTGAGACAGGACACATTCCTGGCGTACACCCTTCCCAATTTTGAACCATGCAGTGTTATCCCACTCTGTTCTGACGACTGCCGCTTGATCCAAGTATAGGTTTCGCATTAGCACGATTAAATGTTCTGGGATTCCCATTCTTCTCAGAGTCAGCCACAGTTTGTTATGATCCACGCAGTCAAACGCCTTTGCATAATCAATGAAACACAGATATACATTCTTCTGGTATTCCCTGCTTTCAGCTAAGATCCATCTAACATCAGCTACAATATCCCTAGTACCACGACCCTTTCTGGACTTCTGGTAATTCTCTGCTGATGTGCTGTTCCAGTCGTTTCTGGATAATCTTCAGTAGAATCTTGCTTGCACGTGAAATCAATGATATTATTCTGTAGTTTGTACACTCTGTTGGGTCACCCTTCTTTGGAATGGGAACAAATATAGATCTCTTCCAGTCAGTTGGCCAAGTGGCTGTTCTATGAAAAGGCTGTCTGTGTATATATCAAAACACTTGTGCTGAAACAAGTATTTGTAGAGTAGAAAGACAACGCAAACCAATGCATTTGAAAAAGCCAGTCAACAACTAAGGTGAAATGCAGGTGCTATTGCTTCTTTGTGGTTTGTGTCTGTGTGTGTATGTGCACACACACAGACAAGGGGAGTGGGACAGGGATAAGGAGACTGCAGACAGAGAGTGGTGGTCAATGGAAAAGATGTCATGAATGTGAAGAGAGAAGAAAATACAGTAAGCCTTGTTCATTGTTACAATTCTGTATATACTTACTTGGTTTCCAACAATTGTGTATTTTCGAGTATAAGATTCTCAACTTCACGACCCATTCCTGTCAAAAGAAAACAGATACTAGAAAAATGTATAAAAAAGCTTTATGATATAGCAAGCTATAGTCACAAATTCATTTTAAGTGTTTTAATCTGTCCTATGGTAGTCTTATCTATCATTTTATTTGACACATTTATTTATGTGAATTATAAAAGTATAAAATATTCATCTCAAAACAAAGTTGAAGATTTTGCAGGTCAATTCTTTATATTAAGAACTGTTAGTTTAAAATTTGTTGTTCATAGGTACTATTTCAAAAGAATCAAGGGGTTTTTTTGCCAAGTATTCTAACAAATGTTACTATTAAGGAAAAAACCAGTATTAATATGAGTCAGAAGTGGTTTACACATCACACCTGGTATTGTAAGCTTTTCCTAAAAGTTAGGCTTTATTAATAGAAACAGGCAGAAAAAAGGCACAGAAAGCCAGAATCTCAAAGCAGATGAAACCTTACCAAAGAAATTATGGTCTTAAAGCCCATGCATTCCATGTAAAGCAAAAACAAAGAACAAGAAATGTTAAATGTAAGAAACAGCATGAACACAGATTATTAATCTTTAAACTTTATGTATGACATGAAAAACATCTGGAATCACAATGCTGTGATTTAATGCAGAATGATGTGCAAAAGACAGAAATAAAGATAAGATGGCCTCTTCACTCGTAAAGATGTTTTAATGATATATTAAAACCTACAGAAACACATTTTACCAATTCTTTTTTTCTAATAAAAGTTAGTATTATTAGACTGAAAACCCCCAATCAATGAGACATCATTTCCTTGAAAGTGTCACCTATGAACTGAGTGTTCAGTCATCATTATAGAACTGTGTTTTAATATTTTAAAGAGCACAGGTAAGATATACATATAAAAGTACTCAATGCAAGACACAATGTTGTGATACTTAGGGAGAAGAAAGCAATTTAATTTGCTGCTGGTAAAATAATTGAAGAAATGAAGACAGGCATTAGGGTTTTATCTCAAAAAGATGAAAAACAAAACAAAAACCACTGTCACTAACTTATCTCAAGAACTTGATAAAATAAGAAAAAGAATTAACATCTTCCTCTAAAATTTCCTGGTAATTTAATTAAAGATAATTAAAAACAAAATTACCTAAGAATGCTAAAAATTTCATGCTCTCATATGTTAAAGATTTAGAAAACTATCTTCTAAATTTTCTCAAAGACCTGGATATTTATACTACAAAGAATTTACATATCAGAAATAGTAGCTTATTTAATAATTTATGGAAAAACTGAAAATAAAGACACTAAAAACTCTGCAAGTTTCAGCTCCAAAAAAACACTTTGGTAAGATATATTCAAATAATTTAAATACTAACATTAACTTTATACTAAAGTTACAGAGATATAAGAAATATGGCTTGTATTTGTAAAAAAAAAAGTTTAATAACCACTAAAGAGTCTTGAGCATATATGGAAATAAGCATAAAAATTGAGAAGATATGCAGAGCCAAAAAAATAAGAGTCAAGCAGGGGAGAAAAAAATATGAGAAAGCATCAAATGAACACAGCAGGCAAGAGCACCTAGCTTAAAAAAGCAGCAATATTAGAATATTTAAAAGCATACACACCAGAATATTCCCCTGGGTACGCAGCCCAAGAGAAAAATGAATGAGAATCTTAATTAGATTGTTTTCAGCAAGTAAGAACTAAACTCATTTATTTTAAAATGAGAGAGGAGATAAAGAAATCAAAAGGATGCAAGGAAACCATTAACTAAAATAAAGTATAAACACCAAAAAGAACTATGTACTTATGAGAAATATATCCTTAGAGAGAAACTTTAAATATCCTTTAAAGTTCACATCTACACATTTCCGATGATGAGTTCTCCTAGAATTCTAGAGTACAGATTTAAAACAGAATCAAAGATTATAAAAATGTTTTTAAATTCTGAAATCTAGCCAAAAAACCAAATTTATTGTAAATATAAGAAAAATAGAACTAAAATGCCCCCATTTCTGCTCAGGACTAGGCATAAAATATTTTAAAACTACCTAATTAAAAAAAGAGCAACTGCCTGCCAATTTTCAAAATCCTAGCAGTGTCCTTGGGAACGACAGCAGGAATTCTCACCCTGTATCTATAGATGAACTGCAGAGTTCTAGGGTAATCCCCTAAGATTGCACATCAAATCTTGTTCTGTATGTACATTTTTCTAAAAGTTCATTGCTTTCTTAAATATTCTCCTCTGAAGAATTTTTAAGCCTCTGAAAGGTGAAGAATCACAGGCTTAGAGGTGAAATCAAACTGGAACTGGGCAGCAGATCACTCAGTGTTTGTGCTATGTGCTCACGACTCAACAGTGAGCAAGAAAAGCAAGGTTTTCTTGGTCATGCTGAACTTAATTAACAATCTATGTGGGGAGATAGGCATGTAAACAATTAGTAACTAAGTCTGAAAATAAGCAAGAAATAAATGCAGTTCAGTGGGGAACCATTTCAAGGACAACTAAACTTTGAGGGGTTCCAAGCAGAATCCCTATAGGATATGTCATTTTAAGGGGAGAGAAGAAAAAGAAATGTGTATCTAGGAAGAAGAGAAAAAATGTCTTGGTGACTGGATGTGAGGGAAATATGGGAGAAGTCTAGGACAGAAAAATGTGGCTAGTGAGATCATTCATTCACTGATATAGTAGATACTGTAAAAGCAGTTCTGAGGATGCAAGAACAGTCCAGATGATAACCGGAGCATGTCAAATGGCCAGATTTTTGGCAGGTGCTGTCAAGACATTTTGGGACTTCATCTGTTGCAGAGTCTAAACTCATGTTTTCAAGGAAGTGGCCTTTAAAAAGCAAACTGCCAGGCCTTTCAGCTGAAGTGAGCAGGCTGGTGGTAAAGTCTGCAGAGAGTTGTGCTGCTAACCCAAACGCAGAGCATCTCTTGTGAGTTCAAAGGGAGAAAGATGGGTAACCTCCTCCTGTGCAATTTATAGGCTCCGAAAACCCACTGGAGGGTCAGCTATCAGTGAAGTATGACTCAACAGCTAAGAGCTGAGTTGAGCTGTAGAGCCATTTTAGGTGCCTTTCAACTGCCAACCTTACAGTCAATGGTCAAGCACTTAACTGTGCTCCCCAGGGACTCAAAGGCAAAATTCTAACAAATCATGAACAGTTTTGAATAGCTAGGGGCTCTAGAAAAAAAAAGATCTGAGGTAGAGATAAAACTTTGGCCAAAATCAATCATGGAAGGTAAAAATCTGAGACCAAATAAAATTTCCCAAAGAAGCAAGAACAGGAAAGGAGGCATGAAGCACCTCATCTAAGAGACAAGAAGAGGAAGAGAAAGCTGCAAAGCTTAAAGATAAAAGGGAGAGAGGCAGGAGAGGTAAGGGCCTAGTCTGGTCATCAAAGATAATTGTAAAGACAAATGTGGAAGGAACCACTAGGAATTACAAACAAGAAGGATGATTTCTAGCAGAAATGAGTGTGAGGGAGAATCAATGAGGTAAGGAGTAAGTGGGATTAGTGAAAACACATCAGCTAAAGAAGTTCTATTTAAATATGTCTGTTTTGCTCACTAATTTACTGCAGCATCTCAAATAGTGCCTAACACTTAACAGACACCATTATCAACCTTGTTAGAAGTGTGGCTAGAAATGGGAAGACAGTGATGTGGTACAGAAAAGTTTAAGGGAGACATGACAGTGTTTTTATCTTGAAATTGAAAATGCCTGAATAGGTTTAAATGATAATGCAAAGTTAGTATATTGAAATAGGAAATAGGAAGAGCCATTAAAAATAAGAAAGTCAAGAGTTAGAGAATACAACAAGAAAAGAAAAAAAGAAACTGTTGGGATTTTTTTTTCTCTCCTACATTATTAAAACTGGGGGAAAGCTAAGTGGTGAGTACATGTATAACAATTTAAATAAATTTATAATAAGAGTTTGATAACAACATAGTATAAGAAAAATGAAGCATTACAGAAATGGATTATGTACTAATTTATCAACCACAGGAAAATTAAGGAACTTCGGGAAATAGTTCATGAGTTTAGCTATATTCCACGTAGCTAACATTACTCTTAACTAAGGGAATTCTGCTGGCCTGGTGGCTAAGGAGTTGTGCCACCAGCACACAGATGGGCAATCTCCTCCTGTGCATCTTACAGCCTCTGAAAACTCACTGGAGAGTCAGCTATGATTCCGTTTCTATTCAATAACAATGAAAGAAACCGTTAACTACTAACAGTTTAGTTGTACAGAAATCAAGGGACTTTCAAGCGCCTTGGAAACATCATTTAATCTCAGTGGTGCAGCACTGGTCTGCATTTGCTGTACTGAGGTGAACTAGACTGGCTGTGATGCTGAACTCTGTGTCACTGAGGTGTCGAATGCCATAATGGTTACCCAGAGTGGACAGTGCTTGGTGGAGCTCCCAGATTAAGACATGTTTGAAAGCAAGAGTGGCATCCACTTCCTAAAACAACATGGCTTTGGAAACTCTATGAACTTTGAGAAATGACAATAGTTACAGGCAAGTTAAAGACTGCAGGTCTTCGTTCATAGGGTTGCTATGAGTCATCCTCAACTTGATATGACAATCAATAACAACAAATAATAACAAACAGAAAGAAAACCAGAATATCACGGTTCTACTTGTTAATCTAGTGTGTTTAATTTTCTGACTTAAAAGTTTAAAGACTTAGTTTAAAAACCTGTATTATTTGTTTCTAAGTACTATGTTGGCATCTTAACTCATTCTAAGATGACTTGGCCAACAACCTTAATAAATCTATTCTTCACTACTGGATTATGATGCAAATCACGTTTTCAAAAGTATATTATCGTACTGATTACAAAAGAACACCATGTGGGAATTTTCTGAGATGGTGAATAATTACTATTGGGAAGTTACTCTACACATTTGTCAAAGTTACTAACTTGCATAACCTCTTTCCGAATTCACTTTACTTATTGAGCTAATTTTAATTTCCAGAAGAACTTCAAATTTTCCTTCCTAACATCTGTCCCTCAGTTTTCCAGGGTTATTTCTTACTAGGTAAAAGCCGGTTTTTAAATAACCAAATATTACAAGAAACTTTCTCTTAAAATTTAGTGTAAAATAAAATGAAAAATGTAAATTTAGATGTAAAAATGGAACATTCCTTAAGAATTAATCTTTTCTAACGCTTCTTGAAAAAATGCAATTCATTCAATTTCTTCCAACGTTTTACTTAAACTTAAATGGTGATAATTTCTTTATATCTAGGTCTAAATGGTAGTATTTACCTACTTTCAATCTTTCTTACTGGATTAGGTGTACTGCTTGGCCAGAATTTATATTTCTTTCAAAAACTAGCTCTCTAAATGTCAAAGAACACTCTAGGAGCTCTGGTGACTTAGTGGGTAAGGAAATAAGCCATCAACCCAAAGACACGCAGTCTGAATCCATCAGCTGTTCTACAGGGAAAAAAAATGGGCACTCTCCTGTGCGATTAACTTACTGACTGTGAAAACTTGCTGGAGGGTCAGCTATGAGTCAATTTCAACTCGAGAGTATGTAACAACAAGTATCAAGAACATAACTGGCAATCAATAAATATGAAACAATGCAAGCAAAGCCCCTTTAAAGTCATGAAAATTGACAAACTGCCCCTTTCAAGAACAGTGTAGTCTGTATTACAATTATAAGAGATTCAAGAATTTTTGGAGACCAGTATCTATCCTAAAGATAGAGGTTTTGTGTTCTATAAGGTTTCAATCTCTGGGTCTTCAAAGCAGATGAAAGAAAGGTGTGCCAAAGCTAGTTCACAAGAGTTAGCATTTGATAATGCAGAGAAGAAACTTCAGGGATCTACTAGAGCAGGAGTGGCTTTATTTAGCAGGGCCAGATGATAACAATTTTAAGCTCTACAGGTCATTTGATCCCTGCAATGAACTACTCAACTATGCCAGAAATTGTCCAGTAGGTAAAAAGATGAGTGTGATTATGTTCCAGCAAAACTTTATACACACAGACAAATGCTAACTTGGATTGGCTCTTGGACAGCAGTGTGCCAAACCCTGAACTAGAATCTAGCTCCTTCACAAAATCTAAGACCAGAGAGACTAAGCTATTTGGCAAAGGCCACCAGGGAAATAGAGACAGAGTCAAATGTAATTTTCTTTGTAAGTAATGGGCTCCTCAACAATGCAAACTTTAAAATTATTATATTTCCTAAGAAAGCTAGAACTGAAATTTCCTTAAAAGGGATATATGATTGGGTATTATTGCCATGACAGGAGTCCAGAATGAAGGCTGCAAAGCGGAGCAGACCTGGGGGGAGGAACTGCACAACAATCAGAGTTGTTCTTTTACTTTTCAAGGAGAAGAGTGAATTGGGGGGGTGGGCAGGGAGAAAAGTGCAACAATGAATGATTGGAAACCCTAAGACTCTGTACTCTTTCATTAAAATTAATTTTAAAAAAGAATTTTAAAAAAATAAATAAAACGAATTATTCACTAATCCATATACACTCACACACGCATGCATGCAAACACTTACATATGCATATTCTTATGTATAGTACATTCGAGAAATTGTTGCATGATTTCAAAACATACATTTAGTTCAATTTTAGACATATTAATACATGAAGATTATTTCACTTCTAAAACATTCAAGACATTAAAGAATACCTCTCATTAAAGTCCACCAATCTTGCTCTGCTAAGCAGGAACATTTTCATTAAATTTTCAATGATATAATTTTTAAAATTTACTTTTAAAAAAGTTTGACAGTTCTTTAGATGAATGTTCATACCTAATAAATCTGCTCCTTCATCCACATCTCCAATTAAGCCTGAGCCAGCTGACGACAGTTCTTCAAAGAGAGATTCTGTATTGCGATCAAAAGCTTTGTTCTCTATGCCTTTGGTAGGAGTGCTATGCGACAAAAACAAGAAAGCCAGATCAACAAATTACAAAGATCTTTTGACACTGGCAAATAAATGCCGAGGCTGTACTACCTAGGACTCTAACTTAAATTACATTTCACAGAAAACACAACTGAATAAGATTTTTCAAATGTTTCTTAAGAAATTCCAACTAAATTCCACAGAATGACTGTTACTTGTGAAATCTCAGCAAACACAAATGGCAGTTAGCAAAGAGAGCACTAATCCTTGTAAAGGTGTGGTCGAGGTGCTTTTTACTGATTGTCCAATTTAATCCTCACAACCACAGCAGTGGGGATTACATTAGAGAATCTATGTAAAACAGATCGTAGGAGCTCTACAAATCTAAAAGGTAAGCCCCTCTGAGGGTTCAAATCTACTAAATGATTTTGGGAAGGATGAAGAGTCCCCTCCTGATATTTACAGCTTTGGAAACCCTTGAGGGTCAAGGGTTCTGACTTGATGGCAATGAGTTTGAGGGAGACCTATTATTTCAATTTAATAGATATGGCAATGAAAGAAGTTAGTAGTTTGCTAAAAAAAATATGGCAAGCCAGGCTTCAAACCTACAAAATTCATGACTTCCATATTGTGTGTTATCTGGAGCACAAATTGACCCAGGTTTTCTTTTGAGGGCAGTTTGACAGGTCTATTAAAATTTAAAATGCAAATAATCCTTGTCCCAGAATTCTTAATCAAAAACATGTTCTACAAGACCCAATCACAAACACAAAAAAGGTAATTATGTATGTAAAAAAAAAATAGGAGTTTTATAGTAGCTATGCTGAAATGATTTAAGTAGTTATTAACAGAAACTAAGTAAGCTATGTGTGTACATATAAAATGAAGGGTTTTAAACTTTATAGTCAAAACCAGCAAGATTTTGTACAGGAAAGAAGTCCATTGTTGACATTTTTTGGAGTGTATGCTGTTGGGGTTTTTTGGGTTTTGTTTTGTTTTGTTTTTAAGAGAAACCAATTTTCAAAGCAATGTATACAGTGTGAGTCCTTTTGTGTACAAGCAGGAAAGGGAAGAAGGATGTGTGAGCACAAATATTACTGTTATGTAGGTAGAGAAAAAGTCTGCACATGTTTTCCAATTAAACACATGGTAGATGAAACACAATTATCATCTAATAATTAAAAAACCCAGCTAAAATAATAGTAAAGGAATTTAAAAAGGAGACTAAGGTGCGTCTGATAGAGGCCATGGTCTTTGCAATCACTTATGCATTAGAGAGCTGGACAATGACTAAAGAGGAAAACTGATGCCTTTGAGCTGTGGTGCTGGAGAAGAGTATTGAGGGTACCATGGACTGCTAAGAAAACAGATTCATCCTGGAAAGGGTCAAACCGGGCTGCTCCTTAGAGGCAAGGATTCTGAGGCTCTGTCTAACATACTTTGGACATGTTGTAAGGAGG